CAGAGACACTCTACCACCTGGGTTGCCCAATAAAGAAGCCTTATACTTGGTAGTTACGTCCCTCGCCGAGTATTATTAGGCTTGAATGTGCTAAACCTCAAACACCAGGATTAATACTGCCCCAGCTCTGACCTTATACTTCTACTACCTCACTATGGCGCATGGACACTATTCAGCAATAATCCCACCTCATGCCCCATTGCGACATCCTCTAAGTTTGTTCTGGCACCCCCCGCTTTGTCACCGAGTCCCGAATTCGAACATTAGGCTGCTTCCCACGGCCGTTGATCTCTCCTCCCTGATCATCGTCAGCATCATTCCCAGCAAGAGTGCCATTTTTCTTGCTGTGCTTCACACGGCCCTTGATCTCTCCTCCCTGCTCATTGTCAGCGTTTTTCCCAGCGAGAGCGTCATCTTTCTTATGGTGCGTCCTATTGCCCTTGATCTCTCCTCCCTGCTCATTGTCAGCCTCATTCCCAGCAAGAGTGCCGTCTTCTTACGGTGCTTCCTACAACCGTTGATCTCTCCTCCCTCCTCATCGTTCCGGCAAGAGCGCCATCTTTCTTACAGTGCGTCCTATGGCCCTTGATCTCTCCTCCCTGCTCATTGTCAGCCTCATTCCCAGCAAGAGCGCCATCTTTCTTACGGTGCTTCCTACAGCCGTTGATCTCTCCTCCCTCCTCATCATTCCCGGCAAGAGCGCCGTCTTTCTTACAGTGCTTCCTACAGCCGTTGATCTCTCCTCCCTCCTCATCATTCCCGGCAAGAGCGCCATCTTTCTTACAGTGCATCCTACGTCCCTTGATCTCTCCTCCCTGCTGCTCATTGTCAGCCTCATTCCCAGCAAGAGCACCGTCTTTCTTACAGTGCTTCCTACAGACATTGATCTCTCCTCCCTCATCATTGTCACTGTCGTTCCCAGCAAGAGCACTGTCTTACTTACGGTGCGTCCTATGGCCCTTGATATCTCCTCCCTGCTCATCATCCCCAGCAAGAGCACTGTCTTACTTATGGTGCGTCCTATGGCCCTTGATCTATCCTCCCTCCTCATCGTCACCGTTGTTCCTAGCAAGGGCACTGTTTTTCTTGCAGTGCTTCCTATGGCCCTTGATCTCTCCTCCCTCCTCATCGTCACTGTCATTCCCGGAAAGCGGTTGTGCTGGCTACCTGTAAGCATCTCTATCGCTCTCTACTGCCACATTGTTTCTGTGCTCAGCACTTGTGGCAGGCCTTGACGCCAACAGCATTATCCTCGCAACCGTCAACCCTTGCAGCCCTCCATGGTTGCTACAGTCTCGCAACATGTTACAAGGCCCCCTTGCTCCTCCCTCACCGAGGCTCCAACACTTTGGACATGCCCTCTCCATCACAAACATTGTCCGCGTCCCTAGGCATCTCACCCTGTCCTATTCCCTCATTAAATGTCTGCCTTTGGTACAAATATTTCAGACTTGATGTTTTGATAGAGGCACCCATAGTCAATTCATGAAATTATCAACATGTCTAATTCTGTATAGTAACTGCCAGTGAAGTCTATTGATTAGCTGTCGGCAACTGGTCAGGCTGGATTTCTTCCTCATCACTAGACTCAACTATCTCTGCACTACTATACATCGTCTTCTTGCAACCCCCAGAGTGAGAATTGTCAGCTGTAGGATGTCCACAGCGCTTCGAGCCTTTATCGGACCGTGTCCGTCGACATCGATCAGTAATGTCACCTCGATCAAGTTTATCATCACGTTCGCGACGAAGCTGCTCAAACTCCTCATCATCCAATACCTTCCAGTATGTAGCACCCGATTCCCACTTTCTTAAGAGCATTTCGAGTTCTGGAAGTGCGCTGGACACCTGGCTGAGGTTAGCAAAGGGATGGAGTCTGGCCATCCTTCAATCGCGACCTGATAGCGTTGAACAACGTTTCGGAAATAGTAGGCCCACTGCATCTTGGCGAGAGGCTCACCAGTCACTTTTTCTGTTGATACAATTAGTTAGATTGTGCAACATCGCAAGAAAATAAGAACTTACGCAATCCACAGTTGATCACGTCCTGAATTGAACCACAAACTTGAGAGACACGCTGTTGGTGATTTTTTGCAGCACCTAGTAAGCAAAAATTACAATTAGATCCAAGGGTAGTATGTGAGGGAAGGAAAATCACACCTTGCACTCCTTGGACAGCAAAGCCCTCCATTTTGCTGATCAGGTCCTGATTGTCAATGCCCATAACGGAACCCATAAAGTTTTTAACACCATCAGTAGTGAAGGTGATTGCTCGAATAGGAAGATCAGTAGAGCCACGCGTCATGTAAAACACAACTTCTGCACCAGTGCGACAGTTGAGACTATGGAGCTAGTAGTAAGGCAACATCAGAAAAAATTTCACTGCAAGTTGAGAGGGCACGTACCTCATTTTCTACAGCCTTGAGGGTTTGAGTGATGTCATTGACCTTGGACTTGGTTGAGACACGAGTCCCAGTGGCCTTCGTTTGCTTCTCCTCTGCATACTCCTTGAGAAGAGCTTCTTGTTCTTGTTCTGAGAGTGCATCGTATTCGGCCTTGTTGTCGCAGACTAGTGTTCGGAGCGTGTCCTTTCCATGCCTACTGCCTGCAAATAAAAATCAATAGTCAAACAAAAATGAGTAAACACCGACCTACTATTTTCTTTCTTTGCGTCCTGGGATTTCTTCCAGCAAAATGCATTCCAAGTGTTGACCTTTGAAAGCTTTGAACGGAGCAATCCATGACCCATGTACAGCTCATTCTCCACACGCCGGATGCTCTTGTGGTGAGACGTAGCAATCGTCCTCGTTGCATCGTTGATTTGACTCCATGCTACATCGAGGGTGTCTTTGAATTGACGAGACTTCTTGTTCCGCTGAAGCTTGAGTGCCGTGCGAGCTTCTTTGCTTAGAGTGACCTTAGGACGAGTACGAGGGGGCGCCTGGACGTGCCTTGAGCGACTCTTGGTGTAGAAAGACTGGATGACCATCGTCTACAGGAGATGATACTGTATCAGTGACTTTTAAGCTCAAGTTTGAATATTTAAACACACCAAGAATTTAGTTATTTATTTTTTCAAGCTCACAACAGAGACATCCAATGTACGGCTCATTGCTAAACAAATGGAGAATGTGATCTACATGTAAAAGAATAAAAGCCAAAACAAGTAAAGCACGCATGAAAAAACAAGTGTGCCGAGAAGCTTGAGAATGACTGTAAGCACGGAAGTTTTCTGCTAGTAGTGAAATTCAATTCAGTATGACAGCAGCAGTAAATTTCAATATCGCTCACCTTGACGACCTCGGGGCTGACCTGCATGACATGAAGGTCAGCAAAGAGGGCCATAGACAGAATGGACACATGCTCATATGACAGATCCCATTTGGGAGACCTGAGCACTGCCTCCCATCGGCTGCTGCGGGCAGTCTGAACTAAAAGACGGAGTTTGGGTAAATTTTCATCCCCCAACCTCAACCGATCAAGTGCGGCGTCCGTATTAGGTCCAATGCTAATGAGCGGCAGCCCATATAATCGAGATTCTTGCTTCAGACTCGGTTCCAAAAACAGCGGGTCAGATGCAGCATCTGCATTCCTGTGTCGGCGAACTGTTGATGGGGATGCAGCATTTTTCTTTTCACGGCTCGCACCGATGTCTGCAACCTCACGAATAGCTGCAGATGGTGCAATGCGTGCCGTAGACGCCTGCAATTCACCTGAAAAGGCTTGAGCGGCTTGAGCGGAACATTGAATGCGCGCCCCAGTGGCCACCATGGGCGCTGGTAGATGCTGCGGGCCCTTGGAACTGATATGGGAGGCTGGAACTTTAAAGTAGAGTCAAAGTTAACAATGGTTAGCGTTATCCGAGTAACCCACACTGTTCAGCTCACATTGTCGTTGTGGTTTGATGTCTTCAATGAGACAGCGTGTGTTGAAACGCTGAAGGTGTGGTATTGCGAACTCCTGGGCAAACGCCTGCACCCAGACCGCAACGTCTCCACCAATCCGCTCAGATGATTCATGGAGTTCACGAGGTGTGATGTAGACGTTGATAGGGAGCTGCTCGGGTGTTGTGCTTGCAGTTGCTTCAGAGCCAGCACATCAAACAAGAACTGAAATTCCACCATCCAGGCGGTCTTGTATAGTTAGCTAGACAAATGTGAGATTTAGCTACATAAAAATGCAGGTGACTCACTGCATCAAACACGTCCTGTAGCGCTGCCTCAACTAGCGCATCATGGCTGAGTGTCCTCTCGTCCGTTTGTTTAGCAGTAGCATTGAAGCTGATGTATGACGGGTGAAGGCCACCAAGTTTCCTAGTATGGTAGTGAGTCCCGTCGATGTGTGCGTCGTGCCTCAACAAAGCTCTAACGGTGAGGCGATCTCAACCTGGCTGGGCTGATATGAAATATCTAAAAATGCTCAACCAGTATAAGTGAGTCTTGGCTCTGCCTAGCTGCTATACTCGCAGAATGCAAGAACGTTCGACCCTAAAGGGGACTGCTACTGAACACAGAACCAGATGAAAGAAAGACCCTTGAAGTGTGATGGATGCGCGAAAGCGCAAGAAGAAAAGCGAAGTGAGCGCAAAGCGCGAGAGAGCGCACTAAGGTAAGCGCGAGCGTGGGAACGTGAGCGCTAAGGCGCGCGTTGTGCGGAAAATACCGGATAAGGAAACGGATAAGGAAGCGGATGTGCAAAGCGAGTGCAAATGCAGAGCGAGTGTTATAACGAGCGCGGATAAAGGTCTAGTATAGGCGGATAACGATAACCATTGGAAACACAAAGTGCGCCCAAGTGGTGACTACTACTCTAAGGCAAAACCCAATAGCGAGGGAAGTACAGCAAAGGGGAGTAATAATGATGGTGTAGTAAGTCAGCAACTTTATACTATGGAAATTGCATCGGAAGCGGAAGGGATAGGAGCAATAAGCGCTATGAATACGTAATGACATGTAATAACGCTGCAATGCTTGTTACAAACCACGAGGCAAGGCATATGTATGATGTACCAATGAGGTGGGTGGAAGAGGGACGTTCCTGGATGATAGGCGATGCAGGGCGCTTAAGCGCGAGAAAGCGCGCAAGGTGCGCGTGTGGGAATGCTGCGCGTTGTGTGGGAAAGTGCAAACATTGATGTGTGCAAAGTGGCGATGCTGGACATGGTGAAGCGGGATGCTTGAGTCGCAGACAGCATGGTAGTGGTTTTGGACGGCTTTGCTAGTGATTTTGCGGGAGTCAACATTGTGGAACCTGTGATGAGTCAAGTCTGCGATTATGTAGTGTGATCTAAGTCCAAAGTGTAGATAAGCGCTGGCATGAATTTTAAGAGATACTGCACACCTTGCGGGTCTGTGAAGTATTGAGTACCCAACAGCAGTCTGTATATCCATTGATGGGTCTTTTCATTCTTTTGGTACAATATCAGTGCATGAGCAGCACAGGAGTGTTGAGTTGCGCAACCGGCAGCAAATTCAATTGTTGATCAATCAATACTAACAACTAAAACGGTTAATGATAGCACGTGAACATTACAGTACCGTTGGGAGTTCATTCAGCAGCAGCCCCTCAGACAACACAAATACAGTTGACCCCATGCCATTCCCAATGACCAGTTTTTACACAAGTTGAGCAAAGTGTTGATGAACTGGTTTATGGTCTGATCACTGACCCTCGAGTAATTGTTTACATGAGTTGAGCAAAGTGTTGATGAACTGGTTTGTGGTCTGATGATTGATCACTGACCCTTGAGTGATTAAGAATCCCCCAGGACGTATCATAGACTCCTCAGACAACATAAATACAGTTGGCCCTATGCCATTCCCAACAACCAGTTTTTACACGAGTTGAGCAAAGTGTTGATGAATCAGTTTATGGTCTGATCGCTGACCCTCAAGTAATTAAGAATCCCCCAGGATGTATCATAACTTCAGACAACACAAATACAGTTGGCCCCACGCCATTCCCAATGACCAGTTTTTATACGAGTTGAGCAAAGTGTTGATGAACCGGTTGTTTTTACATGAGTTGAGCAAAGTGTTGATGAACCGGTTTATGGTTTGATCGCTGACCCTCAAGTAATTAAGAATCCCCCAGGACGATAAATACTGTGTCTTGGGGAGTTTGAGCAGGAAATTTACATTTATGCAGCTGTCTATTTTACATGTACTAGTAGTTACTGACTCACCACTTACCGTCATCATGAACCAAGTCAGTCAGTTATAGAATGTAAGAAGTCGGCCATGTCCTCTGTGACTGTGTTGCGCTCTTCATGGTTAAGAGCCTCAATGTCATTAAATTCTGACGTGAGGGTATCAATATTCTCTTGCTGCGCTGTGATGGAGATTAGCAATGAAATGTACGTGGTTAAGAAAAAAAACTCACCACCACCAACGCCAACTTGTAGCTCTCCCTCTGGATGGACACAGGAACCCTCGCTGCTGGAGGCAGCATTTGCGAGGCGGGTGCCAATACCCCTAACACCAGAGAAACCAAAAATGTTTTCAATCTGACCTAGGCGATGCAGGTGAACGGCATTGATAGCCGCCCGTGAACGCCACTGAGATTTCAGCTCGGCAGCAAGCAATGGGTCGGAAACAAGAAGATTGTTGATGACAAAAGAGGTCTTGGCGGTTTCGTCATGGATAGCAGTACAGAGGCAGCGAACTTCCACATTGAGTCATGTGATGGTAGTTGCCTCGTGATGAGCTGGCTTTGTCCAATCATGGCTTCGGATATCAGTGCGGGAGTTGCGCAACAAGTCAAACTCGCCAAGGAAGCTGTAGTCGACAATGTCCTTCCATGCGATCTTCAGTCTTGGTGGAGTCAGGGCTCCAGCCTGAATGTTGTAGTGATTGATGGCATTGCGAATAGTGTCCGAGCGCCGCTGTAAAGCCTTGCTAATTTGTTGACGTAGTTTATACCCTGGAGAAAATCAGTTATGTGAGTGTGCAAACAAAGAGAAACTCAAAACCTGTGCCCAACAACAAGAGCTTCGAAAGCTCAAACAATCTCATGACCACCAGACGTTCCAGTTCATCCAAGGCAGCACGATATTTCCCTAGTGTTGCTTCCTCCTTGAAACGGCTGTATTCCTCGCCACCAATAACCCATCTTTCATCCACAGATAAGAGCATTTCGCAATGCACTACTAGCGCTTCTGCATTCTGTAATTTAGCATAAGGAGAATCCACACTGATATGGGCTTGCTTGAGCGCTTGATTAATTTGTTCCAGGCTAGTGGCATTGATTCCAGTAAGAGCATTATTACCAGCTTCGCGTGCGATATCCCAGTCAGCCCTAAAAAAAACTTCTCGTCAGGGTTGGACAGAATACCAATTAGAGTTTATGACCTTCGCTCCCCTAGCTCGTCGAGTACCTCAACATAACGAATACATAGCTGGTCTTTGGGAGGCGGATGCTTCAAAGTATCGAGATATGCGCGTTCTTCATCAAAGAATCTGGGAAAGTCACCATCACTGAGACCCAGCTCACATTTGATAGCTTCAAGCTCAGCCGTCAGCGTCTGGACTGATTTCAGGGCTTCTCAGTAATGATTCCATAAAAAAGTGCCTGATCCAGGCCAGATATTAGCATTGCAATCAAGGCATTATTAAATTATAATGACGAACTGAGTACAGCATACTTATCCATGTCCCAAAATGTGTAATGTTCCTCAATGGCTTGATGTCGATGGAAACGGCTCGCGTGCCTCGTGCTACGAGCAAGCTCATTAGATGCTGAGAAGATGTGTTCGCAACCCTCGCCCTCGCTATGACCAGTGCCTGAGATATACATAGGGTGCCAGTTGAGCTGACATCGTCGATTATGCGCATGGCCATGAAAGGCGCCAACCATCATCCGAAATCCAAGTTCACGCGCTCGATCTCCCAAGGAACTATTAGTCAACGTTTTTGAGAACACACAACCAATGTCATATGCACAGCCACCATTTTTCCTGCATACAGTAAGCAGCTTGTCAATGATCGCTAGTGGATACTTTGCACTATCAAATGTGTCAGCCTGCGCATCACTGAGACTAAATGAAAAAGAACCAACAGTTCACCGCTTTGGATCATATCGCACGCGAGAAGAACGAAGCGATGGCGGCAGGATGCAATGAAGATTCCTGACTCATGGAAGACATAAAACATTTTTTCACGTGTTTCTGGGCCCGCATTTCGCCACCGATTCACACACGTGAACGCTCCTGGAATATTTGTGTCAGTAGAGTCATCCTGCCAGTCATCCTCATTCGGGTCCACCTAGAGGATCAGGTTAAAGATAGTTACATAAAGGATGGAAACTTACACATCGGGCCTTGACTTCATTACTGAATTTGTTCACAGCATCAGCATCAACCCAATAATCAGAACGGGCGATACGAGAATCTTCTCGAGGAGTTGTCCCATATATGGCAGAATCCCATCTCTTCAAACTGTTATTTCCATCAATGGACACCAACCACTCGAAATCAAGGGCAGGTTCATCCTCGAGTTTGTAGAAACATGCTGGGCAGGAATTGAGCAAGCGCCAATTGGGAGTATCCTGGTTGAGCACTCGCCTCAGACGCGTGTTCACATGATGAAGGATTTCTAGATAGATGTCATAGGCTGCCGTGAATTGCGTTTTGAGGTATGGTCGGTAGGGAATCTATCAACTCAACATAAATAGACAAACTAGGACAAAGGTTTTGTACGTACATCATGAAGGAAGCACAAAGTCTTGCACTGCACTTGAATACTAAAGTGGGGACATGTTCGGTGAGACTGATGGTAAGCAGCAAGCATACGAAGCGATATTGCGACAGCAGGATACATGGGGGAACACCCAATGTATCCATAGTAGATCAATGTTTCGTTAGGATACTGATGCGAGGGTAAAGGTTGTAGACATGAGCGACATCTTCCTGCAAACAAAATTAATCAAGGCATATGGCATGCAAGAAAACTTACTAAAAATATCGACGAGTTCGATGTTATTGAGGGAAAGTGAGCCACTCCCGTCCGACGGTGGCATATGCGGCATATCTTCAGGTGTTGGCATGCCATCCCTAGAGTTTCGAGAACGGTAGCTTAGGTAGGCGTTGACAAGGCGGTCTATTTGAAGATCCCAATGAGCCGTTTGGGTTTCAACACGTTCGTGACGGGTGCGAGAGTCAATGTAGCGGCTGATACATATATTGAGCATGGCAGAGTAGCAGCAGAAAGAAGTGGACACATACTATCCAGTGAGATCAGCCATCTGATGAGCGAGCCCTTCAAATGCCTCATGCTCCCCACCCGCATGACTGAGATCAAATCCCTCATCTCCTGGTGGGGCTGTATAAGGGACTGCGTCCACGCCCATTCCATGATCTGCCATCATGCTCTCAACCACGCTTCGGTCCTCAGCTGACATCTCTGGTGAAAATGTACTGTTAGAGGAGTATGATAACAGGAAGATTCAACTTACCTTGAATATCAGCTTGGTGACTGGCATCTATATCAGCCATGCGCTGTTGTTGCTTGCCTGCAGTCAGGACTTGCGAGTGGTGGTGGCGCCCTCGGAAACCATGCGAGATGATTGATTTAGAGAGCCCTTTGAGTCTAACAGAGCCTGAGCCGCGAGGCATTGACGCACTCTTGCCACCACGAGGGAGATTTGAGTGGGCCTTGTAACACGTTGGGAGACACCGCTTTCCGGGAACGACAGTGACGATGAGGAGGGAGGAGAGATCAACGGCTGTAGGAAGCACCATAAGAAAGACAGTGCTCTTGCTGGGAATGAGGCTGACAATGAGCAGGGAGGAGAGATCAAGGGCCGTAGGATGCACTGTAAGAAAGATGGCGCTCTTGCCAGGAACGATGAGGAGGGAGGAGAGATCAACGGCCGTAGGAAGCACTGTAAGAAAGACGGCACTCTTGCTGGGAATGAGGCTGACAATGAGCAGGGAGGAAAGATCAAGGGCAGTAGGACGCACCGTAAGAAAGACGACGCTCTCGCTGGGAAAAACGCTGACAATGAGCAGGGAGGAGAGATCAAGGGCCGTGTGAAGCACAGCAAGAAAAAACGGTGCTCTTGCCGGGAACGATGCTGACGATGAGCAGGGAGGAGAGATCAACGGCCGTGGGAAGCAGCCTATGTTCGAATTCGGGACTCAGTGACAAAGCGGGGGGTGCCAGAACAAACTTAGCGGATGACGCAATGGGCATGAGGCGGGATTATTGCCGAATAGTGTCCATGTGCCATAGTGAGGTAGTAGAAGTATAAGGTCAGAGCTGGGGCAGTATTTAATCCTGGTGTTGAGGTTTAGCACATTCAAGCCTAATAATACTCGGCGAGGGACGTAACTACCAAGTATAATTAGGCTTCTTTATCGGGCAACCCAGGTGCACTCTACAGTACCTGACTCCATTTTTCCCCTTTTTCAAACCTACTTAAGACGACAAATGTCCGTCAACACACCTCAGTCTCTCTACCCGTGACTGAGGTGTGTATTATTCCGTTCTCCTTATTGTAACGCTGTACTTACTAGATACAGGCTCGTGTCTAGGTTCGTAGTACCGTGAATATAGTATCTCTACCGTGACCCGTGACTGAGGCTTGTGTCTAATTCTCACCTTTAATACTACTAGGTATATAGCTTGTATAGTGTAATTAAGATTATCACTGGATACTCATGATCATATCAGTACTACTAGATCAGTGTTGATAATCGACGATAAGACAAAATCTTGCGTGAAAGTTGTGTCAGGGTCCAACATAACCAAAAATGAGCGCTCAGGGTGCAACATAACCAAAAACAAACAGTTACTGATGCCAGACCTGAGCTAACCGCTTTCAAAACGCTCGCAAGCACTTGCAAGCGACTTTTCACCGGATCCGCCTTTTTAGATTGGCAGGTTGAAAATTGATTGAGATGATCCCCTCTTGGCGTCGCGTCTGTTTGTTGTTTGTTCCGTGTTTACATGATTTTTTATTATAACCGCTCACCTACTCATATCTAGATCTTATCTCTTACCGTGTCGCGCAATCCCAAAGCCCATAAGCTCATCCACGTTATTCATCGTCTGATTGCCCGCTAGTACTAGTGTTGGCTAGCCGGAGTTGGGCACTTGTCGCGTGAGCAGTGTTACTGATTAGCCGTACCTGCGCGCGCGCCTGATACATATACCTTGCAGAAAATGCGCTGTATTTACATGGACTTGCTAACTGGGCAAATGATATACAATCCCTGCCAGGCTGCCGGAGACTCTGGGCTGAGCGGCATCAGTATCATGTTACTTGATGTTATCCATTTCGTTGGGGTTTTTCACATGTCCCACAGCTATATCGGCTCCAAAGGTAAGTAGTAATTCGAGTGTGTGATGCTGGAACCGAACTCTACACGGCCCGGTAAATATGGGCACAGTTTTCAATTATGGTGCGTGACCGAGTCCGGGCCTCAACTTTTGCCTTGCTTGGTTTCGTCTAGAACACCATGACCTATCAGGGCTTCACTACCGATGAGTTGGGGTCTTCGCAAGCGCCAATCCCCCACTCTCTGGCAACTGGAAGTCGTAGTTGCCGAAACTTTGAACACAGCAATACATTATGGCAGCAGAGACGAGTACTGACGCTGTGGGAAAGGTATATAAGCTCTGCTGCTAGTCCTGGACTAACCGGCGACAATCTTTCTCTTCTTTTAAACGCCCACACTTATATTTGGGAACCATATTTTGGAGATCATGGATGCTCATGCAAAGACGATGATGCCAGTGTTTTACCTCCCAGACACCATGGTCAACTGGCCCTGGCCTCGTACCATCAACCCTCATTTCGAAGATGTAAAAATTGAAGTCGATGCTGCGTTCCGTGATTTCAAGGCTCTGAGCCCCGAGTCACAGAAGGCATTCGACAAGTGTGATTTCGGTTGGTCCGATATCTAGCTCTCATTCTGAACATGGCTGACACGTTCTGTGCTTATAGCCCGACTAGCAGCACTGGCTTATCCGAATGCACCAAGAGGTGTGTACTTCAGTACTGACAACCCATACACCACTGACCGTTTATTTTTAAGAACACCTCCGAATCGGCTGTGAATTGATGAATGTCTACTTTATCGTGGATGAGTACACCGACATCGAAAATGCGGCAGTTACTAAGGAAATGGTGGACATCGTACTAGATGCCCTACACCATCCTCATAAGATACGACCGGAAGGTGAATGCATCTTGGGTGAAATCGTGCGACGGTAAGTATCGCCAAATTTTATTGTTTGATGAAACACCTGAAGTTCAAGATTTTGTGTAGATTTTGGGCTCGTGCAATCCAGACCTCGAGCCTGTCTTCTCAGCGTCATTTCCTTGACAGCTACACCGCATACCTTCATGCAGTAGTTGTCGAGGCTCGGGACCGCGAGCATAGTCATTGCCGAAGTATTGATGATTATCTCAAGCTCCGACGGAATACGTGTGGCGCTGAATCTGCTTTTGCAATATATGAAATGGGAATGGAGTTTCCCGATGAAGTATTCTACCATCCTATCATCGTGGAACTGGTTGAATGTATCGTAGAACTGATTTTGATCGACAACGTAAGTTGTCTTCTTGACGTAGTTGACAGCTTACTGGAGGCTTTTATAGGACATGGCCTCGTACAACAGAGAGCAAGCAACTGGGGACGAAAACCATAACTTGATCACTGCTATCATGTTGGAACTTGGCCTCGACAGAAGCGGTGCGATGGCTTGGGCAGCACGCTATCACACTCAAGTCGAGAAGCGGTTTATCGACGGTCTTGCACAGGTCCCTTCGTTTGGAACTTGCACCGACGTCCTCGTCAAGTATTTTGATGGGATAGCAACCTGGGCTCGAGCAAACCATTGTTGGAGTTACGAGAGTCAAAGGTCACAACCACGTCCAATTTGTGCAAATCATTACTTACCCTTCTCAAAATTTCAGATACTTTGGCACTAAGGGCGCAGAGATACAGCGAAGTAGGATTGTCCCGTTGTTACCGAAGGTCAACTGCAGCGACGCATCCTCGGTGGCGAAGGTCAATGTTGCCGATTTATCGAATATCGATGCCGCAGTGCACCGCGAGTAACCGTATACGGTAGCCTCGGATTTTGTAAACACTTAGAATGACAGGGCAGTACAACTTTTCACTCCACCTGGTTGTTCGTTAGATGGGTAGCAGTTCACAATACGCATGAATGTAACCTCTGCAGTCTATAGACAACTGGGCTACCACTGTGTCATACTTCTGCCAATTCGCCCCACAGGAATTCGTGCAACCGAATATCATGGTCAACACTGGGCGTTTGATGCCATTTGATGTCATCCAGATTTGGAAACACGACTGCTAGCAAGAATGGGACAAGTGCTGCTGTCGCCACCTGGGAGTGCCCAACGTGCAGCTCTCGAAGAGCTGTTTGGTTGAGCCAAAGGTCCGTGTATCCGCCCAGCGCATGAGGAGGCGTCGGCACTAGTGTGGCATCGAAATTCAAAAGGGTGCGCAATGAGGTGCATCGTGTGGCGAACGACAGAATTGCGGCGAAGGTGACCGCGGGAATGTCGGTATGATGTTCCACCATGAATCTCAGCACACGGAAACCCGGCCAAGCAACCGCGGCGTCCTCGATGAAAGCATCGTCAAGACAGTAATTTCCAATGACGATGAAATCAACAAAAGTCAGCCTTGTGAACTTGAGTAGGGGCCGAAAAACATCAGAAGGGAGTGAGTGGAAGGCCGGATCGCAATGGAAACCGCAGCCAACACAGATGTGTTCCAGGTTGGCAGATGTCTGGCAACACATCTCCAGGGATAGCATGAAGGCGGTAACTTCTTCCGGAAAAGTAGGTCTACAGAACTCCACCTCTAAGCACGCCAATCGTGGGGTAACAATTTGGAGAAGGATGGGCGTGCACAGTCGTCATAGAGGATGAGGCGTTCGAGGGCATTTAATTTAAGCGGCATATCTATGGATGCTGAATTCCCCATGGCAACGGATTCTCCTTGCAATGCTAGTGAAAGGAAGTGTAAAGCACGCCGG